ATATATATATATATATATATATATATATATATATATATATATATATATATATATATGTGTATGTGTGTGTGTGTATATATATATATATATATATATATGTTATATTTATGCTGATAAATAAATAAAGGGAGACTAGTATAGATCTATTTCAAGCTATTTAGCTCTCATCAGCTAGCCATACCCAAGTTTGGGAATCGAAACTATATATAAGGTAGTCATTCTTAAATTGTGTGAGAGCATTACAAAATGAAATTAAGAGCTACCACAACTCTGAATTATTCAACAATGAATGTGGGTGGGCATATGTGTGTGCATTCATGCACACGTGCACATACACACTTATGGAGATAACAGAAGGTAGATCACTCTGATAATAGGTCACATTAACTTTTTTTATATTTCCAAAGTGTATTCTTAGTGCTATAAATATACAGAGCAATTGTGGGTTCCTATCAGTTCAGCCCAGTTTGGCTGAAGAGGTAGTGGTATGGCAGCCTGGGTCGCTGGATTGGTTGACCCCGCCCTGCCACACCCCTCAACTGGTTCCATCGCCATTTTGTTTTTTTGTTCTGCGCAGAACAATTTAATTGAACTGTGCATGCGCATGCATCCAGCACGCAGCGCACATGCGCGAATGAACTAGCAGGGAGAACACAGCCCTGATACAGAGGCTCCTCAAGTTAAATTTGGTTCTTTAATCCCAAGAAGTATACCTCACCATTATCAGAAATTTAAGGAAGAACCATATTCTTTCTCTTTCTAGATAGGCATCTAGGAAGCCTACTAAATTTTGACATCATTATGCTGACACGAATACTTAATATATAAACTTGGAATGCATTTATACATAAATTTTTGAATACCTATGATTTAGAATCCATATAGGTCAGTTTCTTCACATCCTCTTGTTTATGAGAGCAGGAAGAAGATACAAGATGTGTACTAAGAACTGACATAAAATTATATATTGTGGCCTACATGCATTCATTCAGTAATAGATGTACATTAAAGGTACAAGAGGAAGGATTACCAGTGAAAGACATGGAAGTGTAGGAAAGAAGAAGATATTTGCATTTCTTGCGTACATCATCGATTTAACTTCCCTCTGGAGGATATCAAACTACTGTAGAACAAAAAGCCAGTTTGAAGTATTTCAAGTTCTGATAAAAAAAACTTAGATCAAGAGGTGCAGAAGCGATGGAAATTAGTGGATTTCATAGAGTTCTTCCTGATAAAGGGAATAATCAGAACCAAACTGAAAAGAGGCAAAATCTGACTCTACATCTTTGATAGATAGACCCATGGATGGGCTTCAAAAATTTTAGCAAGGGGTTCTCTGCCCTGTTGCTAGGTCGGCGTGGTTATTCTGGGCGTAGCCTAGTTGGCCTCCTGCACCATGGCAGGGGGGGGGGGGTTGCCCTCCCTGGGCTGTGGAGGCTTTGGTTGAGCCTCCGGGAGGGTAAAGACGGCCTCCCCAGCCTCCGGGGAGGCCTCCGGAGGCCAGAAACGGGCCCATTTCCGGCCTTCCCAAACTTCTGGTAGGCCCGTTTTTAGCCCTCCCGGAACCTCCGTGCATGCCCTGCACTTACCTGCATCCAAAACGGGCTGTGTGGAGACTCCTGGCAGAGGTTGGGCAGGTTGGGCAGAGCCAGCCAGGAGTGGAATTTGGGGGTTCTCTGAACTGCACAGAATCTTAACTACAGGTTTTCCCAAACCCCTGTGAATCCCCAGGAGCCCACCCCTGGATAGACCTACTGAATGATTTATTTATTATAGTAATTTGTGGGAAGTCTACTTTCAGATTCCATCTCCTTGATCTTGATGTTATCTGTAAGGGCACACCTACAGCTTTCTCCATAAGCATGATTACTTCTGGAAAACATTAAAGCACTAAACCTGAGGATAATGTTGCTTTAGACCAATTTCTGGCAACCGCTATTGACAGACTGTCAGATGTACAAATGGGAAAGAATTCAATCCACTCTTGCCAAAAAATGATAGGCATTTCCTTGAGATTCTAAATTAGTGCTTGGTGTTTTGAAATATGCATCTCTTATTTACCTCCAAGCAGGTTAGACTGAGCCTCCCAGTTTTTACAGAGCCGTGTTTATGAGTAATTCTTTCATGGTCACCCCTTCCTGTAACAACTGTACATATATAGCCAAGTACTAAGTTGCATTTTTGACTGAAGAATTGCTTTTAGCTAGTGTAATTTATTATATTGCCTGTTGGCTGCCCTGCAGAAGCAAGAGAAATTGACTTAGGCAGGATATACAAGTTAGAGGAGGTCACTGGATAACTCTGAGGAATGAGAGTTCTTCATGCTCAGAATTATCCGAGGTGGCAGTGTTTGAACTCAGAAAGGGATTATTCTTTCTGTATAATGTTCCCATCCACTTTAGTACATTTTCTCTGTGGATTCAGATTCTTGAATTAAATGAGCCTTTTTGACCCTTCTGTGCTGTTTCGTCTTTGCTGTCTTGCCAACATTTGTCTTCGTACTTGTCACAGGCAATATCAAAGCCAGCCGTCGATCTTCCTACCTCTTAGCCATAACCACAGAACGCTCCAAGTCATGTGATGATGGTCTGAACACATTTCGGGATGAGGGGAAACTTTTAAGGTGGGTTTGGTACTTTGTACATTCTTTCTGGCATTGGCGAAGAGCAGCTACATAAAATGGAAGGCAGACTAATTCGTGCAGAAGGTCTTAGAACAATTTTGCTTCCCTTGAAGTTTACATATGTTTTGTCTCCTGGCAAATGAGCTTTTAGAGCACTTTTTAAAAAACTGCAAAACCTCTTAAATAGAGCTGAAGCTGTTAATATAAGCAGTGTTTTTTTTCTGTTAGATATCTCAGCTTTCAACCTTTGGTTTTTATAGCAAAATTAATCTAAGAATTGTGTGGGTCTGTAAAGAAAAATGAATAGGTGAAAAATTAACACATGACAATATTAAGATATTTTGATATTGAGTTAGATATTGGGGTTCAGTAAATAGTACTTTTAAAAAACTTGAATCAGTTATTTTAACCAAAAATGTCTACATGTTACATGTGTGAGGAGGATTGTTTATCTATATATGATCTATAGGGAATTGTTATCGCTGAGCATTTTCTCTAAGACATACTATTGTCTATGGTTCCACATGCAGATTTGAAATTGATGTAGATAGTATTAATACTATTATCTTATAGTATTAGTGATTAGAACCAGTGATGAAACAATCAGGTACATCTTGCTGAATTGACTAAAACTTCATACTCAAAAAAATGAGGGATGCCCAGTGAAAGGATCCTATTCAATAAACATAGCTAGCTAGTTCTTTTTTTTACTTTGTATTGTTTATGCTAACCATACATAATCTTGTGTCTGCAGGAGGTTGCCAAGTCGTGTGCCTAGCCTACGTATATTAAGAAGTTTCTTTACTGATGGGGTGAGTGTTTGTGGTTCTCTCTTTAAATAAGTGTGAATGGGAAGATTTAGTTTCCTTCTTTCCCTATGCTTTGGAGAAATCTAAATAAAGATTTAGAAATTTGCTAACATTGCACTCAAAAACATTCTTTCCAATTACAAAGATCAGGGTTCTTCTCTGGCTAAGGGACACATTTTATTGTTCTTGAAACCTCTATGGGCTGCAGATGTTATAATTGGAAAATGCAGAGCTATACTATTATTTTGAGGAGAGAATTTACCCTTTAATAATACCATCAAAATTTGATATTGATTTCATTTATTTTATAAACAATGTTATACAACATAAAATGTGCCAGTATGAAAAGGTCATCGACCCAATCAATTCAATTAAATGAAAAACTAGGGCCCACTGACTACTGTATTAAACTATCACAGCTAATTTAGATCACCCATGACTTATCTAAATCCCATCATCATAATGAATTTCTTGCCATACAGATTCTAGAAACGTATCATGTCCTACTTAAAATAAATTACCAAAGACCTCTATAAAAAAAGTCAATGCTTGGAAAAATTTACAAGATCATTTTTACAGCTTCAGCAATCCATAGTTAGAAACATAGACTTGAAGGGCAGAAGACTTGTTGGAGTAGTGGCTTTTCCCAAGAATGGCTTTTCTATAAAAAATTGCTTAAGTGCAGCATAACATTATGGATGAAATCACAAGGTACTCCTGGTAGTACCTAGGGATTTGCAAGCCTTTTTTCTGTTTTGATGAAGTCAATGTTCAGTATACCATCACCAGGAAAGCATAGAGATGGGAGAAACATGAATGTAGCATGGATAAAAATGGACAAAACGTGATTCATGATAGTTATGTGCCTTGTTTAGAAGAAAAATGATACTTTTTCCAGAGTTTGCTTAAAAAACACTTGGATGATGCCCCAGACACCTTGGTGAATACACCGTTGACTGCTAAGTAAAAAAAACATAACTTTTCAGGATATACTGGCCTTGTATCTGAGAGAGAAACTAAGTACTGAAATCCACAGTAAGAATCATATACCTGTGATAACAAAAAAAGAGACACTGCTATGGCTGTGGGTGCTTCCATGTCCCAGAATGGATGATTGGCCATCACTGAAAGAAACATGTATTTTGCTTTGTGTCAGAAAAATCTACATGAGAATTTCAGTTTATTTGTCAGCTGAAACTGATGTGCAGGTAGCTCATGCAACAAGGCAATAATCCCAACATACAAGGAAGTCCATAAGAAAATGGATGGAGAAAAACATTCATTGTTTTGGAATGATCAAATCAAAATCTGGATGTAAAACTGATCCAACTAATATGACTGGACCTGAAAGAGAAGTTCATTCTAAAATAAATCTGATCAAATTCGCCATTGAGGAATGGGCCAGAAATATAAGAGACTGATTGCCAATTATATGAAATGTGTTTTAGTGTAGCTAAATGTGGTCCATTCAGTAGCAATGGAGGTAATTACTTTTCCATACTGTCATGTTGCATGTTGAAAGATATATGGATTCACATTGAAAAGGTATCAATAATGAGATAGAATTGGGTTTTATTGGGCAACACTGGCTTGTGATCTTGTTGGGGAATAATTCTATGAGATTGAATTAACTTTAGGAAAATGGCAGCATTTTGTTTGATTTAGATTTGAATCAGTGGTCAGACAATTGCCAGAACACTTCACAAGTCCTATTGTCCATAAATATATGTTTCTTCTTCCTTCCTATTTGGAACAAAGCAAATGTCATGTGGTAGTAAGACTATTGAAGTACAGTATGTCAGAGAGACTCGGTTTCAGTTACTGAATATATCTAACTGCACTACTTTGATATAGTCACTATCTTCAACCCTGACTTACTAGCACAATCAGTGTATCTTTCCTTCTTTCTGCTTTCTCCAAACTAAGCATATTGGTTTTATTCCAATCAGACAACATACTGCTTGGTTAGGACAGCTATTCCATTCTTCTATTTAATCACAGCCGCACCCTTCTCTATATTCAGCCTTTCCTTTCTTAAAGTTCAATATTTCTTTTAATCCACTGATGATATTTATTGAGCTGTGTTTTCCTCTCTTCTAACAGTCTTTGGATAGCTTGGGCACCTCTGAAGACACACGTTCAAAGAGGCATTCCACCTCTGATCTTTCGGATGTCACTTTCAGTGATGTGAGGAAAGAGGGCTGGCTCCACTATAAACAGATCCTCACCAAAAAAGGCAAAGTATGTCTGAAATTTTCTATAAGGCTCTCCTTAAGGGAAAAGAATAATGTTAAGTTTTGGTAATACGGGGCATCTCTGTTCATGTGCATGATAGGGTTTGAGGAGGTAAGAATTGTAATTTCACAAACCCATAAAACCTGAACTAGTAATGACTTCAAAAATGAAATGTTTGGGTAATAGTAGAGGTGATAATTCAGTAGAAATACCCAGAACATTGATTGGAATAGGTTAAGTTGGCCAAGATAAAATTAATTCAGTCGAAATAAAATCTTGATTTCAATGAGAATTAAATATTGGTTAAATATTAAACTATTCTGTGACTATTCATTGTGATGACTGAGGTTAATGAAGGCTGGAGTTTATTACCATTCATAGGTACACATATATTTATCTTCTTTAAAGAAAAGATGGTTGAACTGAGGCATAATAGAGAATTATAAAATTACTCCTGAAGAAAGTAAGAATATGCAGGGGAATCAATCAATGAAATTGATTTGTTATTAGGAATTGGCTGCTTCAAGATGTAGCTTTATCATCTGAAATCAAAGTGGGTAGCAATTAGTAGGTGTTGGGACACTTATGGATTTTTCTGTGGGGAAGTATGCTGGGATATGTGCATCTTTTATATAAAAGAGTCACTGTATATTCCTATTGTTTATTAAAAAACAGATATGAGTCCAGTGCTGTCCTTTGGCTATCAGGGATGATGAACTTAGGGGCAAGTGGCACCAATGATTGTTTCTCTTTTGGGGCTGCCATGAATAGGAGGAAGTAAATCAGGCCAGGATATTGCAATAAGGGTTTGTTTCCTATTCAATGCAAACTGGAATCTCTGACTTGCCCCAGCTTCGAATTCTGTTCACTATATTCCTTCATATAGGAACGAAGTCCAATTCAGTACAGCAACCCTGATTTTTCTTGGAATCTGGGTGTTCTTTCCTTATTTCCTCTTTTTCTGCTGCTTTTAATGTTGGGTCTTTCTTTTGCAAGAGGCCTAAGTGAATTTTCCATTATCCCTGAAGTTCACCTCAGCTCTCAGCCTTTGCTAAAGCTTTGCCCTTGTGTAGGACATCACATTTCTCTTATTAAATCAGAGCTATGAAGAATCCTGTATTCCTTCCCTTCTTGCTTCTTTCCATCCTCTTCTTTGCCTTAGACCGCGCTCTTATACTTGCTTCCACCATCTTAGCCTCCTTTTTCTACATACAGGTTCCAATCACTAGGTTACATTATAAGTTAGAAATTATTCCTACCACCTTTACCTATTCCTTTCCCTCTCCCTGTGCTTTGGTTGTAATGGATGGGATCATTTCACAAACACACTTGTAAGAGGCAGTTTTCCTATAAATGCTGCCTTTATTTAATGAGGATGTAGCAATGTCTGTCTATTCCCAGTATCTTCTCTCTAACAGTGAACCCATTAACATATTTTCACCCAAGAGATGTCTGTATTACTGCAGATATTTCATTTTTCCTCTAGCCTTTACAGTTTTAACCAACACCTATTTTTGCCACAATTGTAACAACTACAGGTCCCTTTGATTTCCCAGTGCTTTCCTTTTATTTGAGCAGGAGCTAAAGCAAGGGTGAAATGCTGCCAGTTCAGACCATTCGCCTTAACCAGTTCTAAAAAATGCTACCAGTTTGCCCAAACCAGTAGTAAAAAAAATTCTACAGGTTCGGGTGAACCGGTATTTCCGACAATCAGCTGTGGTTCATGATTTATATTAGGTAGAATCGTCGGATTTCCCGCTTTCTAGCTAATCTAAATTGTGTGGCGCAGCAGATTCCCCCCCCCCACTCCCCCACCTCCGGTCGCTGTTCTACTTACCTTTTCTGACTCGGAAGGCTTCAAAATGTTCCTTTTTAGCACTGTGCTGGCGCGCCTCACTTGTGCAAAGCTCCTACTTTCCCACTTTCTGGAGTAGGATTTCTTCTTCGGTATCTTCCTTTCTAATATCCTGTGACCTTTTTACTGCCAAACAGTCCTCAGACAATTCTACTGGCTCTTTGACCTGTTTCTGGGTTGTGCTGTTACATTCAAAACATCACTTTAATAGGGAGTATGTGTAGGAACTATTCTAAAATTACTTCCTCTACCACTTTTTCTTTGCTCCTTTCATCTGGCCTCAACCATTTCCTGCCTAAGCCTTCTAACCTCACCCACTATTCATGAATCTCTTCATGGTTGTCATTTGTCATAGCTTATAAATTCCTCCCTATAGATGTAGGAAAATCATACCTGTATAGAATTTTCTCTTTAACATTACTTCTCTTGCTTGAAAGCTATTATAAGCTCTTTCCTATTAAACATAGGGCTAAGTCTCACTCCCAGGCCATTTACAAGAGTTAGCAATTTACCAGGTATTTCAAACCTGGTAAAGTAGGCTTCTATGTCTTCTGCCTCTGACAATTTAGAGATTTTTATGTCTTTGGGACCACCACCCCTCTCTGCACTTTCTGAAAACCCTAGAGATGAATATGCCTCATCTGATGACTGTATTCTTTTAAGGAAGTCTATCAGCCTCCCTCACCTCCTTCTCTTCTTGTTCTCTTTCACTTCTTTTTAATTCTGGCCTGGCCCTCTACAAAGCAATTTTTATCTTTAATTAATGAATTTAATTAATTAATGTTATCTTCCACAAACCCCCACAATTTTAACCTTAGACTGTCTGCTGTTGACCTCAACTGAGCATTCGTAAGAGGTCTGTAAGGGGTGTGCATAAGCCCACCAACGTTCCTACCTTCCCTGTCCTAACAACCCCATTTATTCGTATTCATTTCATGTATTCATAATCTTGTAGGTACTTAACATCTATTATCTTATACATGCTTGACAAAACAAACAAGCAAGCAAATAAAATAAAAATAAAGCCTTTCCTCTTGCTGTTGCTCTAACATCCTGGTGATGATATTGGCCCAGGTATGTGAGTCTTTTCTGAGCATTTTGCCTTCTTTGGCTTAACTACAGGCATAGGGTGGATACTTGGCTCAAATTAAGGTAAGTAGTCTTTTCTAAGGAATAATCTTCCTTGCTACCTTTTCCATATCTGTGTGGTATACTATAGGTTCTGGTGAAAAGACTGGTTTCTGCAGTCAGTATGATGGTGGTTTCCTGCAATGTCTGAGCTCTACAACAGTCAAACTACCTTTGTGTTTGCACCTAATGTTTGCTTTTTCATGGCATGATATGGTTGTATGGTTGTTACACTCTATTGGACATCCCACTTCTACCATTTAAACATGAGTTCTTTTAAGTATAACTAATTCCATGAGCTCACAACACAAAAGAGCCAACACAGGTCTCTAGACAACGTGCACATATGCATTCACAAGCTATTACTCACTCCTACTCCTCTTTTACCCACTGCTATTACTAGTCCAATGACTGCTACTCTAATTACTCCTCCTTATAAATTCTACCATTCCTACTTTTTGTGAATACTGCTAGAGAAAATTATCTTTTTAGCTGCTTTACTTCCACACAGAAACAAACACCCCCTTCCCTCACAACCATCAGCTATTTCTCAGCACAGCTTTTATGGGCAATGTTTCCCTGCAGGCTGAGGAGAAAGGTTAAAGAGACTGAAAACAGCACAAGTGCTAGTCATTTTCTGGGCTGCCTGTTCTTTAATACAGGGATTCTGTCAAGTAACATTGGAATTTTAGCAAGGAAGAGCAGGCTGCAATCTATAATTGGTAAAAGAGCAATAAGAGGGAAGAAGCTCTTCCTTTTCCATTTAATATATAAATTCTGATTTGATGCATCTTTATTGTTACAGGATCCAGTTGCTTTAAAAATAATACAATAAAGGCTTATATTTTAGAACAGGTTTGTCTTCTAGTAGGGAATGACAGTTATGTATTGATATGCTTTTCATGCCAATTCTTGGAAATGAATCTGTATTGAAATGTTAGCAATATTTTAATATGGAAGTTGTTAGATTAATAACAGTTTTACAAATAGGCAGACATGTCAATGTGCTTGGTTTTAATTTCATATTTAAACCAAGTATAAATCTATAAGATAAATCTGTTCAATACTACAAGACAGCTTTAACTTTTGAAGACTCTAATTATTCAGTTTATATTGCATTGCTGTATTTTTAGAAGACAATTATAACTTTGGCACCATGGTGGAATGTCATTTTTGCATGTCAAAGGGTCTAGGCTTGGCTCAGCACATTTCTAGGTAGGTCTAGTATAAAATTCTGGAGAGCTACAGGAAGGATGCTATGAATTGTTTGATATAAATCCAGATGGAAGGCTGAAAACGAGAAATGATCGTAGGATTAACCTTACATGGCATTTGGTTTTGAGTTCATCAAACTGAATCAAGCTAGCTGCAATCTTTTTTTAATATGGGCACCCTATGTAGAATTGTATACTGATCATTTTTTGAAATTGAAACCCACAGATCTGCCCAGATTGGGTAACACCAGAATACATTCATCCATCCTGAGCTAACATGTTGACAACATGATTCCATAAGATGGAATTTCCAGTTACAGTAAAAGAGGGGAGTAAAGAGTTTAGCTTGGAGTCTCTCCATAAGAGGAAGGGACAGAGGCCAAACTCTTGAAGGCTGTAATTGCCTGTTCCCAAGAAAATGCACTTAGTCCGGCAAGAGTTTTGTAAGTAGAGGACAAATAATAAGGAAATTATGTTGGCAGTTACTTTTTCATTGAGTTTTTTCCCGTTCCTTGTGCCCAACAAATTTGCATCAGTCTCTCACTTTGTTTGATCCCTCCTAGGGATCTTTTTCTCCTCCTCATCATTCTCATGTCTCATTCCTCCTTTCCTCTCCCCTCTGCAGAAAGTTGGCGGAGGCATCCGGCAGTGGAAACGGGCCTTTGCTGTCCTGCGTGCACACTCACTCTACTTATGCAAGGACCGAAGGGAGGCTGTGGCCCTTGCCCCGCCCCCAGGTGAGGAGGAGCAGCCACCAATCAGCATCCGAGCGTGCCTGGTAGACATCTCCTACAGTGACACCAAGAGGAAGCACGTCTTCCGGCTGACGACCGCTGACTTCTGTGAATGTCTCTTTCAGGCCGAGGACCGGGATGACATGCTGGCCTGGATTAAAGTCATCAGGGAGAGTAGCAAAGCCGAGGGCGAGGTGAGAAGTAGTTCTCCTGGTGGCTTTTCCACTGGCTCTCTAAATATACTTCTTTTAGCAGTTCCACCATTGCTTTTTCTTAATTTATCTTCGACCCTTGGGAAGAACCCAACTGCAAATGCTTTGTGCAATTATTAACTTGTATGGCTAAGGACAGCCAAGGCTTTCCTGCAGTATACAAGGATCTTTCCAGTGTTGCAACCACTGAATGGAAACACAGCAAGAATTGTGAACATAAAGCCTACAGAGGCTACTGACCTACACTCACAAAAATTTCAAACAGAATAGCCAATGGCTGCTGGAATGTATTGTAAAGCAATCTTTGGAGGCTCATGATTTGTGTGCCTATAGCATCTTAGAATTGTAAAACCTGGGGAAGAATATTATCAAATTTATACAGTTCCTGAGTTCTATTCTAATGTAGAATTTCTGATGGAAGCTCCAATTGATTTATTATGGTGACCTCTGCTGGTCATCTGACTAAATTATAAGGTGCTTTTTCAGTTCATAACTGAGCAGAATCTGTTTTTCTCCAGTTAATCCTTAGACTGCAAAACAGAATTCGCAGGCATATATATATATATATATGCCTATATATAACTATTTAAAGATCAGACTGTTGGAACCGTCAGGAGTTTTTTTTATCAGTAATTCCAAAAACTGTTTTGATTTAACTTTTCCAAGAAAGTTGGCAAAAATATAGTTTCAGTCTAATAGAAAAAACATTGCAATGAGAGTTTACTGGAGTTTTCATAATCCTTGTCTGTTTTTCTCCCTTCCCTTCTGTATTCCTTTTTTTTAAATCACCAGGACCCTGGGTTTGCAAGCCAAGCACTGATCAATAAGAAACTAAATGATTACCGAAAAGTGAGGTAAATTACTTACCGTCTTACTATTTTTCTCTTTGAGAATTAGCCCTCTTCCTGCCAAAAATTATTTTCATATTTCTTAGATGATAAATCTAAATCTAGTTTGTTTCATTTGAAGTTCAGGTTGCTATCCATTAAAAGTATTGCTATATACATTTTTATATTTATTTATTTTATTTTATGAAATGCCTTTATTATTTTTTATACACTCCTCGAGGCAGCAGACATATCTATTATTCCTTTCTCCTCCTATGTTCCCCATAACAACAAATAAGTGACTGGGCCAAGATTAGACAGCTGGTTTATGTAGCTACCATGCAGTGGTGGGTTCAGATACGATGCTCTGCAGGGCCTACCTGCCCGCCCGCGCTCCTTACCTGTCTCTAAACTCTTCGGCGCTTCCGTGCACACACATGGCGCATACAGTGCCTGTGTGACACTCCATCAAGCAACTGGAGTGGCTCAGGGAGGCATTGCTCAATGGTAAGATGCATGCATGCTCTGTGCGTGTGTGCGTGTGCACTGCGCGTGTTCATGTGGAGGACGCCAGGCCTCGTTGCAACCATACCGCTTGCAATGGGATCCGGAACCCACCACTGCTACCATGGGACTAGAACTCGCAGTCTCCCAGTTTCTAATCTGATGCTTTAACCACTATTCTAGATTGGTTTAGAATCAATTGGAACTCTTTTCAATCTGATCTACAGAAATCTTTATGATTCAGGGATTTGTTTTCTAAGAATGTAACACTATAGATTATATTAATCCCTGTTTGTATAGTGAGGTTCAGAAAAATCTTACACATTATGGCTGAAGGGACTTGATCTCAGGAAATGTATTTGAGGAAACTGAAAAATTAGAGAATTATATACATACATCGTACACGCACACACACACACACAGACACACACACATTTTAAATTATTACAGTTTAGTCTCTTAAATATCAGTTTGTAAAGAAACTCTGGGTACAGTGATCTCAGCAACTGGGTATATACAAGCATGAGACTTTCCCCCTCCAAATGGTAGGGATTGTTTTGTGAAAATAGATAGCCTTTTGGGGAGGGGTGTCTTAGTTTATAGCTTCCATTTGCCCCTGCTTTGTTTATCTTGTTAATTTTGGTCCGAACGTATGTGTGAACAGCAATCAGGGACAAATTAAAAACATGCATGGAAGAACACTGTACATACATATGGATAAAAAAAATTGAAATCACTTCTATAATTTCTGCTCCCAGTCTTGACATAGTAGTTTGGACTTCTATATTAGCTTTGCCAGAGTGTTCTTCATTTTTTCAAGTTTTGCCATCAAATCAAAGGGAACCTTGAAAAACAAAGTCCTCTCTGTGTTTATGCATGCAGAATATGTTTATTCCTGAGTTTTGAAACATGGTCTTTTTTCCTTTCAGTTCCTCAGGGACCAAACCAGATTCTTCCCCCAAAGGTCTTCGAATGTCAGGGATGAAGTCAGAAAGCCAGAAACAAACAGGAATAGCTGCACCCTACTCCCCACGGCAAGATGGAGTAACAGTAAAAGGTATAGAAGGCTTGTGCAGTTGCTCCAGAATGGGGGATTACTATATAGACCCACTTCCATTATCTCTAGCCAATACACCACGTTTTGGTGCTTTTGGCAGCATGGGCAGCTGGAAAATGAAGTCAGCATTCCCCAAAAGCTCATCTGCAGAAGGAAGCATGAAGTGCTCCAAAATCTCCTGGTAGACGGCTGCGTTGACCCTGGACTTAATGAAGCACAGTGGTCCAAAGTCTTGTTGCTCAGTGGTCCAAAGTCCTCTTTTCTGATGAGAGCAACTTTTGCATCTCATTTGGAAACCAAGGACCCAGAGTATGGAGGAAGAATGGAGAGGCCAATCAAGCACAGTAATCCCACGGTCATTGAACCAGGTTTTGGTGCTTTTGGCAAAAGTTGCTCTCATCAGAAAAGAGGACTTCCTACCACAGACGAGCTTTATGGGGATGCTGACTTCATTTTCCAGCTGCCCACACTGCCAAAAGCACCAAAACCTGGTTCAATGACTGTGGGATTACTGTTCTTGATTAGCCAGCAAACTCGCCTGACCTGAACCCCATAGAGAATCTATGGGGCATTGCCAAAAGAAAGATGAGAGACATGAGACCGAACAATGCAGAAGAGCTGAAGGCAGTTATTGAAGCATCCTGGTCTTCCATAACACTTCAGCAGTGTCACAGGCTGATAGCTTCCATACCACGCTGCATTGAGGCAGTAATTGCTGCAAAAGGGACCCAACAAAGTACTGAGTACATATGTATGCTTATACTTTTCAGAGGTCCGATATTGTTTTATGTACAATCCTTATTTTATTGATTGCGTGTAATATTCTAATTTTCTGAGATTGTGGATTTGGGGTTTTCATGAGCTGTACGCCATAATCATCACAATTTTGACAACTCACGGCTTCAATTATCTTGCTTTGCATGTAATAGTCTTATCTCATATATTAGTTTCACCTTTTAAGTTGCATTACTGAAATAAATGAACTTTTGCACAATATTCTAATTTTTTGAGTTTCACCTGTATTTCTGACATTTTGTACTCTGATTCTGTTTCCTATTTTCCTAATCCTAATCTTATTATGTGTTCCATCTTTGCTTATTTTGCATAGTCAAAAACTAAATTAAGAACAAGATTAAAATTTATAAGTTAAAAGTGAAAACCAAAACTAAAAAACTCAGAATGCTAAAATGTTAACAAAGCAGAGTGACCAACCATCCTCAGGATTGCATAGATTCTTAGACTTCCATGGTAAATGGTTGAGCCAGTTCTTAACACTCTTTTAAACAAGCAGAAGAATGGTTTGCTTGCCTCACCCTGAAAGTAAGATGTTACAAAGTATTGGGGCAGCTGCAGAGACGTCCTAGAACACACCAGTAGACACACATGCAGTGAATCCCATCAATTCTTTGATTGATGGGATTCCTAGCATGCCCTCCTTGCTTGACTGGGTGGGATGAGTTGATGTAACCGAGACAAAACCAAGCACCCTGGTCCCATGCCTTGAAGAGCTTTAAGGGTGATAACCACACCCTGAATTGGACCAATTGAATTGTTCTAAAAGTAATAGCAAATTTTCTTTATGAAACAAGAAAAAACTATCAAAAAGATTAGACTACGACCTATGACTTATCACTTAGTTTGTATGCACACTGACTGACAGCTTATGTGCCAGAGACAAGTGTCCAATCACACTTGACCAGTAAGAATTGTGTTATTCTATTCTATTCTATTCTATTCTATTCTATTCTATTCTATTTGACTAGACTGCACTGCACTACACTACACTACACTAGAACAGAACAGAACACAATTATTTACTGGTCAACTGTGATTAGACACACAAAGAATTTGTCTCTGGTGGGTAAACTGTCAGTGTACATACAAACAAAATGATGTCATAGGTCATAAATCATACAATATAATCATAATTATGATATAACAACAATTGATAAATCATAATATATCATTATGAGAAGATACTAGAAAGATGAGAGGTGAGAAAGATTAAAAGATGAGAAGTATGTGAAAGAGGACAAGCATAATAGCAATACAGCCTACTACATGGGTAAATATCTTTAGGCATAAGACAGTGCTGTAGGAGTTAGGTGTTTAGCAGAGTGATGGCATGGGGACAAAAACTGCTAGATAGTTGCCATTGACGGCACTGTCCCGAGTCAGAATCCAAAATGGCAGTGTTGATCCAAAACCACAGTTACATCATAATGGATTCTGCTGGAGACTTGGGTTCAAGTCTCTTCAACTAGGGGCTTGCATGATGACCTCAGAAAATCATTTGCAGTTTTGTATCTTCATTTTTGTGAATTTACTTTTTTTAACACTTTGTTTTATTACTGACTTAAAATGTGTTGCATAAATTCCTAATGATAGTTTTAATAATGTTCCAAGAAGCACCCTGTACTATACACTTTTTGTCCCATCTGAATCTGTTGCATTAAGATGAGTTCAAGTGCATGGATATTCATGTGATGACTTTGGAGACATTGAAAGCCAAGCCTTTTTCGTGTGTCTTTCAAGTACAGAGTACTTTAAAAATACTTTTATTCTCCAGTTTTTAGAAACGTTTTGTGGTCATGACATTATACTTTTTAAACTGGTTTTGAGATTATTTTTCATTTTTATATCTGATTTGAGTATATTCTGATATATGTATTAATATTTTGTCTGTCATAAATCTGAAAATTCATATCCTCTGTAAGGCAGGTTATGAATTCTATAAAATAAAATTTGATTTCTTACTCATCTCAGATTATTTCTTCTCATAATATCTGGACTGCATAATTTCTTCTGTTATCAATACTTTTGGTATATTTCCCCCTTTCTATTTTTATATATTCTGCCCTGTTGGATTCTTTGTTCCAAAATATTCATCCTGAGCTTGCTTATATCATAGGAACTTTATGAAGAAACCTCATCACCAAGTATCCTTTTCCCATTCGACACATTTTTCATAAACTTGACCTTCTGATCCAGTGTTTTTATTTTTCTCTACCATTTCTACTTCTCAGTTAATGGTTTCTCTTTTTCTCCTTCTTCTATCCAGATGACAGTGTTCCTCAGAAAGCACCTTGGGGCATCAACTTAATGAAGAAGAGTAAGAAACCTGTTCCAAGAGCATTTGGTATAAGGTTAGAAGATTGCCAGCCAGCTCCTGACAACAAGGTAGTCTTTTCAATTGCACTAGGTCTTTTATTCTGCATAAGAAAAGAACAGTGTCTAGGGAACTTTGTTAAGGGAAAACTGCTATCATTTCAACATGCCCAATAATTTGCCATGGGATCTAATTTGTGAGCCTTCTGCTTAGAACATAATTACAGCTTAGCCTGTTTTCTTGGTTTTAGTAAACCTGCAGGCAAATGTATGCAGGGAAAGAGATCTGTGTTGAATTGGGAAATGGAAAATGGCAGTAAAGGAAATTGAGTTTTAATCTAATGGGAAGAACTAGATTGCTCAGACATAGTGTTATTTCTTGAGGAATATCCACACAACACTTTCCTAAATAAGAAAGATGGAACATAATGTTAGCAAAATTAACATGGCTTGAAATCTGATTGGAGCACAATATTGTTTGTGGTTTCTTGGGGAATGTGAAACTCATTCCTGAATTTCATTCCCACTTAAAAGACAAGAATCCAAGCTTTGAACATGGATTCATAGTCAGATCTGGAAGGTGCTCCAGAGTACTTGGATTTGAATTCCGGTAAAATAAATGTGCTTAGAACACAAAAGATACTGTATACTATATATTGTGTATGATATACACTATATTGCCAAAAGTATTCGCTCACCCATCCAAATAATCAGAATCAGGTGTTCCAATCACTTCCATGGCCACAGGTGTATAAAATCAAGTACCTAGGCATACAGACTGTTTCTACAAACATTTGTGAAAGAATTGGTCGCTCTCAGGAGCTCAGTGAATTCCAGCGTGGAACTGTGATAGGATGCCACCTGTGCAACAAATCCAGTCGTGAAATTTCCTCGCTCCTAAATATTCCAGAGTCAACTGTCAGCTGTATTATAAGAACGTGGAAATGTTTGGGAATGACAGCAACTCAGCCACAAACTGGTAGGCCACGTAAACTCGTCCAACATCAGTGTGTGACCTCACAAATGCGCTTCTGGAAGAATGGTCAAAACTTCCCATAAATACACTCCTAAACCTTGTGGACAGCCTTCCCAGAAGAGTTGAAGCTGTTATAGCTGCAAAGGGTGGACCAATGTCATATTGAACCCTATGGATTAGGAATAGGATGTCACTTACAGTAAGTTCATATGTGAGTAAAGGCAAGTGAGCGAATACTTTTGGCAATATAGTGTATCTTTGGGGCTAGTCAACTGGTTTAGGCTTCAAATTGCTTCTACTGCATAAAAAAGGTTCTTGGTTTTTAAGGTTCCCAGTCCTGGTATCAGTATCTTTATCATCTTGTCTTCCACAGAAAATCCCCCTGATTGTGGAAGCCTGTTGCAAGGTAGTGGAAGACAAAGGTTTGGAATACATGGGCATCTATCGAGTCCCAGGGAACAATGCTGTGGTATCCAGCCTACAAGAGCAACTAAACAAAGGGGCAGCAGAAATCAACTTACAAGATGAGGTGAGAATAAGATTGCTTAACTCATACTCTGCTCTCTTCACTTCTATTGAAAGAAAATACCCCAGTACTATTAGATAATACTGACACCTAGCTGTCAGTTGCTTATAGTACATGTGTTTTCATATGAGGCATGTATTGTTTTGTGTTATTTACAGAGCAGATCCAAAATCAGTCCACAATTGCCTTTCTATTAGAAGACACGGCAAGATCAGCAGCAAATAAATTTGTCAAATAAATAAAAATGAATAAGTAATGCAAATACATTTATTACCTTGTCTTAGCTTCTTAGCAGTCTTAATCTTATTATTAATAGTGTGAAGAAAACATTACTTTCCTATTGTTAAAGAGTTCTTGCAAGGATTATAAAAGTGAATATACCAGAATTAATTTGAGCACTTTAAACAGTTTGTACTCCAGGTCTTCTGGATTGCAACTTTCATTTCCTGTGTCAGCTTGGCAACAGGAGTTCTTACTCAAAACAATGGAAGTTTAAGATCTTAATGCATCAGGATGACACAAGGTTATGTAAGCTTACTCTAAAGTCCTTTATGAAAGTGTAAATATTTCCTTCTGTTCATCTTGTGTGCAGAGCCAGGAAAAGTAAGGAATAGGCTTCTTTAGTAGAAGACTACCAATATACTTGCAAATGCATAAAATGCAGCTTCCTACACTGTGTGCACAATTATTAGGCAAGTTGTGTTTTAGAGGATTAATTTCATTATTGAACAACTACAGTGCTCTCGTAAATGTTAATAAATCTCAAACCTGAATATTTAAGAAAGTAAAGGTAAGGTTTTGGCTTTCTTAGGAGAATATCTACGTGTGCACAATTATTGGGCAAGTATTAGTGTGCAGATTTATTATGCAACTCGATGAAAAACAAAAATGTTCCCATTTCACTCATTTATTTTCATCTGTTAAAGTGAGAATAATAAAGAAACAACTCAAAATATACAAATAAACATTTCTGACATTTTAAAAAAAAGTCATTGACCAATATAGCCACCCTTCTTTTCAATAACAGTCATAAGCCTTCCATTTATGGAGTCTGTCAGTTTATCATCTATTGATGATAAACATTTTGTACAACAGAAACCACAGCCTCCCAAAACACTGTCTAGAGAGTTGTGCTGTTTTCCTTTGCCATAAATCTCCCATTTAAGAAGGGCCCACAAGTTCTAAATAGGGTTTAGAACAGGTGAGGAAGGGGGCCATGTCATTATTCTGTTATCTTTAAGGCCTTTAACCCCATGCAGTGGTGTATTGTTCTGCATAAAAATCATGATCTTCTTGAAAGATGCAGACTTTTTCCTGTACCACTACTTGAAGAAGGTGTCTTCTAAAAAATGGCAGTAGGTTTGGGAGTTAAGTTTCAACCCCCAAAATTCCAACTATCTCACCTTTAATAATACTAGCTTATGCCAGTACCCCACCTCCACCTTGCTGGCATCTGATTCGAAGTGGAGCTCTGTCCCCATTACTGATCCAACCTTGGGTCCATCCATTTGGTCTATCAAGAGTCACTCTCATCTTATCAGTCCATAAAACTTTTGAAAAACCTGTCTTCAGATATTTCTTGGCCCAGTCTTGCTGTTTCAGCTTATGTGTCTTGTTAAGTGGTGGTTTCAGCCTTCCTTACCTTAGCCATGTGTCTAAGCATTGAACATCTTGTACTTCTGGGCACTCCATGTAGGTTGCAATTCTGGAATATGACAGCACTGGGAGATAATGGATTCCTGGTAGCTTCACGTTTGACTCTTCTCAAATCTTTGACAGTTAATTTGCATCTTTTTTTCCTCAACACTTTTCTTGTGACCCTGTGGATTATTTGCATCAAAGGTTTGATGGTTCTGTGATTATCCCTCAATATCTTAGAAATTTCAAGAGTGCTGCATCTCTCTGAAAGACTTGTGACTTTTCAGGGTCACTTAAATCTCTTTTTTGGCTCATTTTGCCTGAAAAAAAGAAACTGCCTAATAATTATGCACACCTTGATATAGGGTGTTGATCTCCTTAGGTCACATCCTCCTTCATTACACAAATACACATCACCTGATATGCCTATGCCAACTAAGCATTCAGGTTTATGCAGCTTGGAGGTGGAAAATATGCATAAACATGATGATATGGTCAAAATATTCCTTTGCCTAATAATTGTGCACACAGTGTATTATAATCTAATTGCCGATCTAATTAGAAAAAGTAGATGAAGCCAGTGAAGAATGTCCGTAGCCAGGGCCATTTGCCTTCTTTAAAAATTATTTTTTTAAAAATAAATGTTTGATCTCAACATGCTTTACGGTGTTTGGGAAATGTAAAATGTTTTATGTAACAATAAGTGAAAATTGAAATTGAAATAAGTATCAAAGAACTGTTTTCATTTTCCATCTCCAGAGATGGCAAGACTTGAATGTTATTTGCAGCCTCTTGAAGTCTTTCTTTCGGAAGCTCCCAGAGCCTCTGTTTACCGACGGTGAGTTATGGCGGTCTACTATCCCTTCGCTGCTTTACCAGTCATGATTTTTCCCAGAAATTCAGACAGGAAATATTAACCTTTGATTTCTAAGGGACTTTGTATGATCTTTTTCTAGTTGAATCAGAGCATAGTTTCTCTCTTGCCCAAGCCATAGCTGGTAAATCACATTTTTCTAAGAGGTGTAGAAATTGGTATTACAAAATCACTAAGGATTCAGCTTCAGTTTCATTTTTCAAGAACTGATAGAAAAGGACCTGATTCAGACTTTTAGGACCTGAGTTTCAATTGGAATGTGATTGTGGGGAGTGGGAAAAATCCTCACTTCTCTGGTAACTTGCTATTATAATGCAGTTCTCACAGCTGCACATTGCATGCTTCAACTGTAGTAATAATACCACAACGCAAATTACTGCATGGTAGTATGTGTTGTGTGCTGAGGTAAGGACTACCTCTTCTAATTGTTTTAGAAGAAGTTGGAGAAAAGAATGCCCTGGTAGTTATGGCATAGTGTGGGGAAGGAGGAGGTTCATTAAACCATAGACAGTGGCAAGACACCAAGAAGTAAAGGTGATTTCTTTCCCCAATGCCTGAAATTCTTTATGTAATACTTTTGCTGCCTGCAAAAATCTATTTTCTTTCACAGGAAATAAATAATTTCGAAATGCAGATTCCCAAGCTGCCCTAGGTTAAGCAGGGAAAGAGAAAGCATAGTTTAATTTCAGGAGGGAGAAAATCAAATGTTTTAGCCAGGCAAGTTGTAGTAAGTTCTCAAGTAAGTTCTCAAGAAGCCTGTTAGAATTATATTTTCCCAAGCCAGTAAGGCTGAAATGTTCCCAATTTGCCTCCTATTTCCATGTCTTGAAAAAAACGTTGGCACTCTTTGACCTTTTCAGGTCTATTCACTATAATCTATAAATGAGGTTTTATTAAGAAAAGGAGATGCATATTCCTTATGTTCAACTAAACACTGAATAGTTAGGTAAAAATGGGTTAGACGCACATGGCAATACATGTTTATTTCACTAACTCTCTATTTGCGTCAGGTCAGGAATGAATTCAAATAGTTGATTGCAGGAACACAATTTTTTACAGGCTGAGCATATGGCATGAGGACTATGAAGTTGTGCTGGAGGAATCCAGTCATTGTTGGATGCAGCCATGGAAGAGAATAGGATGTGACAAGAAAAAAATATATAAATTAAAGAAATTCATTAATTAATATATATTTTTCACAAATAACCAAACTTTGGGGAGGTCACGGGGTATCTCATGCTTTAAATTTCTAAATAGCTAAGAAGGAGTTACCTTAAGATAGCTTTTCCTTTCAGGTATGCCAGATTATATACCGTATTTTTGGAATATAAGAAGCACCTTTTTCCCTCAATAAAGGAGGTGAAAATCTGGGTGCATCTTATACACTGAATATGGCCTACTGAAATCCCATCCCCATTGCAAAAATGGATGCAGAGAGGGTTTGGGAGGCTTGCAAAGTGCTCCTGGGGGCTCAGGAGGGCAAAAAAGAGCAAAAAACGGGCCGTTTTTGCCCCCTCCCAGCCCTCAGGAGCACTCTACAAGCCTCCCAAAGCTCTGCCTGCCCCCCCTTTTTTTTCTCTCCAAAAAATGAGGCCTGCAGCGGGTTTGGGAGGTCTGAAGAGTGCAAAAACTTTTTTTTAAAAAAATTACCTCTTCAAAATCATGGTGCGTCTTATACTCTTATAGTCCGAAAAATATGGTAGGTCCCATTACTCACAGATAACATATAATTTAGTCATGATAACCAAGATTTATTTTTTAATCCCATCTTTCTTTTGGAAAGTGTTTGAAATCACACCTGTTTTTTCAGAAACTTGTTTATTTCCCCCTGTAATACTATGCTGTGCTTGTTCATGGCTATGATAAAAGCGAATGTTGTATCTCCCCCACCAAATTTACAGTGAAGTGTTTTCCTAATTATTCTTACCACTTAAATATAACACATAAGTTAAATAAATTAAACAAATTCAGAATTCCAGAGTTAAGAAATGAAGTTAGTAAGTGAACACAGAAATTAACAGCAGCTCTAGATACCTTAACTCCCAATCCCAAAGCTGAAATTAAATTGTAGAAATGAATGATCTTTCAAGAGATACTTTGAATCTCATTCTCAATTGTTCTGAACTGCTCAATTTGTTTTGTCCTAAAACTGATACCACAAATCAGAAATGTTTTTTCCCCCAAGATAAATACAATGACTTTATTGAAGCCAACCGGATTGAAGATGCCAGTGAAAGGATGAAGACCTTACGCAAACTGGTAAGCCCCTGGAAATTGCTACTAGCTTTTTCCTTGGAGAACTACTATGGGGAAATGTCAACATCTGCTTTCTGCTTTGCAGTTCAGTGATAGAACACTATTTATTGATTGATTGATTGATTGGGTGTATGTGTGGAGAGAATCCAGGATAGGATGATTGAGCCTCTCCTATATGCTTTCTGCACTCCAACAAGGAACAATCTTCATAATGAAAAGTAACACTTCCTTTTATGCTGAAGATTCAGTCTCTAGCATTTTAAATTAGTCAGAGATAGATTCCCATCAGAAGCCTTTCTGAGCCACTGAAGATTATATTGAGCTTAATATATCTAGGCAGCAAGTGCAACTTCTGACCACCAATACATCAGCTTCATTGGACACAACTAGACCAAAGAAGACTTGCTTTAAATCCTGATATCTTATATTGTACACTTTAAAAGAAGGTACTATTGTAGAGAATGGCCCAGATTGCTCAGTTACGTTATTTTGTGTAAGATTAATTTTGAATTTATAAGAGAAAAAAGACATGTGAACATAAGCATCAGTCTCCCGTAGAAGGGGATAGAATGGGTTTGTAATATGCTTGCTTGATGCAGATCTGAAAACTGATTCTTTTATTGTATATATCACTGTTAAGCACATTTCCCCCTTCCTTCTTTTCTCTTTTCCCATGTATTAAGAATCACTGTATCATTACTGGTGGCATGTCAGTTTCTTTATATGTCTTTTGAAGTTTTTTAAGAATTGAGAGCATGAAGCATTCCTTATTCAATTGAAAGCCATCTGGTAACTAATTTAAAACAAGCTTGAGATGGGAATGTCACACAGAATTAATGCAAGAAATAGTGGGCAGTACTAAGGCAAGCAAAACATACTTTTCTTAAAGAGCAGAGAACACGTAACTATTAGGAAACATTGTCTAGCCTTGTCATAGTGCAGGACATACAAATATACATATTATTGGTATGCTTTAAAAAGTTCTTATGAGTAATTATACTCTTATATAATATATAAGAGAAGATAGTATGGAAGACTATCTTTCATTATAGAAGAACAGTGGAATTCTAGAGCTGACATCTTCCTATGGTACCACTTCTTTAGTGTCCATTTTAAAAAAGCAAAGTAATGGATTGAAACTAGAGAAAGAGAGAGAATAGGATCTAGTTTCATAAAATGAGACAAATAAATACTCCTGATTGGTTTGTTTAAATATATTTCTTCCATCTCTGATTCAGATCCGGGATTTGCCAGGCCATTATTATGAGACCCTCAAGTTCCTGGTGGAACACCTCAAGACAATTGCAGACCATTCTGAGAAGAATAAGGTAATGTTTGCTCACTGCACCTGCCTTCCCTACCCAGAAGCCTGTGTACAGTAGAATATTCAGCTATTTCATGGAAAGGAGGATTAAGAGGTACATGATCTAGGAAACTGAATTTTTAGTTTGATTGTGGGGTGCAGCTCTTCAAATATCACTAAGATTTTATCTGGGAACATATCAGCTTTATTTTTCAAAATTCTGTTTACCAATCTGATTCTCTTCCAATGTGCTCTTATGATTTCTAATTATTGGAATAAATACAAGGGATGACAGACATAACAGCCCAATATGCCTGGACTTCACCAATGAAGAAACCTGGGATAGTTCTGTATCCTGTATTCCTACAACATATTCTCAAGCGAAAGAAAGGATGTAGGGTTTGTGGGTTATGGTTAGGAAAAACTTTCCGTAATGGAATGTCAGAGATCACCTCTTGAATATTCATTAGAGTGAGAACCTTTTCCCAAGAATTTAACACTGAAAGGTTTTTGATTTAGTAGCAAGAATCAACAATTCTGCCTCAAAAGGAAATGTCCCTCCATCTCTTCCTTCCTTGATTGCTATCCTAATTTAGTTAACCTGTAGCATAGATGGACAATTGTGACCCAAGAAGAAATTCCCTCCCTCCTTTCCTTCCTTCCCCTATCCATCCATTTTAATTCAATTAACCTTCAGAATAATATAATTCCAGACACTTTAAAAAAGGGCTTTAACATCAATATCCCCAGAATTCACCTTTTTTCTTACCCAGCAACATATTTTAAGAATGGCCTAAATAGAGTTTGAACCTTGGTGGGTTTAAACAAAATTTCCCTTTACTTTGATGAACTCCCATGTGGTGTTTTAGGCCTGTTTCCCTGAATTATTCTATTTGTAGTCCTTATATAAAAGTAAATTTCTAAACTCCCAATTTGCTCCCTTCCTTACCAGATTCCACAAAGAGATATCTGTAATGAAAGGGCTGTATAAATAGCAGACTTTCTAATTTCCCCCTTGTGTTAGGAGAATGTGAAATAAGTTTACTAATTGCAACACCCCTTCCTGCTACATGAACTCTGCTATGCTTGTTTGTGTCCTGAAGAATTTAGAAATCTGACTTCCCTGAGTCTAAATTGCCTTGAATTTGGCTCTTTGCCATATTTAAAACAGTTCTTTGTGGTTAAGATACATGAAAAAAAAATCATAGGGCTTTCTTAGAACTCAAAGCAGAGAGGCTAATGTGACATGAATTCAGAGATAAGATATATAACTTCACTCCAGCCTTGTTTGCAACAGTTCATCTTATAGGAAAAAAATGCAATTGTATTGCAGATGGAGCCGCGGAATCTTGCCTTGGTATTTGGCCCCACGCTAGTTCGAACGTCGGAGGATAACATGACTGACATGGTGACACATATGCCTGATCGCTATAAAATTGTGGAGACCCTCATACAACACGTAAGGAGCAAGGGGGGATTGGATCTAGGATCTAAGTAGTGAACAATTTAGAGTGGTCTAATTCTATATACACTATATTGCCAAAAGTATTCGCTCACCTGCCTTCACTCACATATGAATTTACTGTAAGTGACATCCCATTCCTAATCCATAGGGTTCAATATGACATCGGTCCACCCTTTGCAGCTATAACAGCTTCAACTCTTCTGGGAAGGCTGTCCACAAGGTTTAGGAGTGTGTTTATGGGAAGTTTTGACCATTCTTCCAGAAGCGCATTTGTGAGGTCACACACTGATGTTGGACAAGTACGCCTGGCTCTCAGTCTCTGCTCTAATTCATCCCAAAGGTAGTCTGTTGGGTTGAGGTCAGGATTCTGTGCAGGCCAATCAAGTGCATCCATACCAGACTTTGTCATCCATGTCTTTATGGACCTTGCTTTGTGCATTGGTGCACAGTCATGTTGGAAGAGGAAGGGGCCAGCTCCAAACTGTTCCCACAAAGTTGGGAGCATGGAATGTCCAAAATGTCTTACTATGCTGAAGCATTCAGAGTTCCTTTCACTGGAACTAAGGGGCCAAGCCAAGCTCTTGAAAAACAACCCCACACCATAATCCCCCCTCCATCAAACTTTACACTTGGCACAATGCAGTCAACCGCCAAACCCAGACTCGTCCATCAGATTGCCAGATGGAGAAGCGCAATTCGTCACTCCAGGGAACACGTCTCCATTGCTCTAGAGTCCAGTGGCGGCGTGCTTTACACCACTGCATCTGACGCTTTGCATCGCACTTGGTGATGTATGGCTTGAATGCAGCTGCTTGGCCATGGAAACCCATTCCATGAAGTTCTCTGTGCACTGTTCTTGAGCTAATCTGAAGGCCACATGACGTTTGGAGGTCTGTAGTGATTGACTCTGCAGAAAGTTGGCGACCTCTTCGCACTATGTGCCTCAGCATCCGCTCCGTCAGTTTATGTGGCCTACCACTTCGTGGCTGAGTTGCTGTCGTTCCCAAACACTTCCACGTTCTTATAATACAGCTGACAGTTGACTGTGGAATATTTAGGAGCGAGGAAATTTCACGACTGGATTTGTTGCACAGGTGGCATCCTATCAGAGTTCCACGCTGGAATTCACTGAGCTCCTGAGAGCGACCAATTCTTTCACAAATGTTTGCGAAAACAGTCTGCATGCCTAGATACTTGATTTTATACACCTGTATTGGAACACCTGATTCTGATTATTTGGCGAATACTTTTGGCAATATAGTGTATATCAATAATTATGCATATGAGTTGATTTTAAAATTGTCTTCAGAAGTCCTTGCTTGGTGTTGTCATTAAATATATCATCAAATGAATCACAAGTATTTGTTGGGAAGATTCTCTATTTGGAGAAGATTGCTTTATAAAAGGAATGTGTGATCTGCTAGATATTATTGAATGAAATGTACTAGCAGCAGTATTTGTAATTCAGGAGCATATGGGGAGTCATACTTTCCCCATTGCTCTTTTAAATAAATTAAGGGCAGTAATAATATTAAAGCATCAAAAGTAAACAAAATAATAAGACCCTTTATTAGAATATTAATTCTGCTAATTAGTAGCACCCAATTCTTTATTTAATAGTGTGCAGATCCTTTACCTTGAATTGTAGTGTTCAGTTACTGGATTGATTGCAAATAGTTCAAAGGATTTCTATTTTTAGATAATAATTTAAAAAAACCCTTTTTGTTTTATTAGTTGTAAAGATATATTTCAGTAATCCCCAGTAATCATTAGGGCAGAAATGGAGAATTTATTTATTATGCCTATATGATCATACTCCTCATAAATAGTATATGGTATTTATATGCAGCCTATTTCTTCAGAAGGGTATGTTGGTGTACACCATTCTTTTCTCTCACTTCCTCTTTTTATCCTTACACCAATCCTGTTTAATATAGTACACTGAGAAAAAATGTTTGGTTCCAAATCACTCAATCAACGTCATGGCTAAATAGAGATTTCAACTGGATCTTCTTGGTCCTGGCCCAGCTTTCATTATAGCTGGAAAGAGCCAATCATGCTCTAGTTTTGTATCTCCTCATTCTTTACGCATGTCCAAATTCTTTCCAAAGAGTTGGTACCTTCTCATTGAGAAGTTCAAGGAATGGTTTTGTATGTGGCTTATCTGTTTTAAAATGTTAAACTTAGTTTCAGTAAGCAGTGGACGTGTGCCCCAACATGGCAAGTACTTTTTGGATTATCTAGTGTGCCACATTAGCATGTAAAATATGGTCAACTCTAAATGAACACAAGCAGAAGGCCAGAGAAAGTGTCAAGTGCTTACCTCAAAAACATTGGGGTATTTATAAGATGTATCAATTGACTGTAAGACTCATTTCCAATAATCTAATCTAATAATCATGTATGACTTGACGCAATGATTCAGAGCATGTAAATTATATTGAATTAGCTCTTGAATATTAAGTCAATGGTGGAATGAAGCACTGCACAAATCTTGCAACAGACTGTAAAGTTTATTTGAATCTGAAACTAAAGCTAACTTCCCTTTTCTGCGGGGAAATAAGCATCAGTGTTGAGTGTAAGAGAGGAAGAGAGAGTACCTACTGGCAAATGTTTGTGGAATCAAATATATTCACCCCAAACCTGAAAGCCATTTTGCAGAGAAAACATTTCTAGCTTCTGAGAATTTTATCTTAAAAATATTATAGTAGACAGGCAGCCCTCCCAGAGAGATAGCATTTTGATAGGTAATTTTGGGTTCAATTAATAAGCTATATGTCTCTCATAAAAAGTTAAACGCTAGAAATAAAATCTGGTTCACAGCCCAATATTTGTAAATCACCCTGCTGTGATTTCCTTTAACATTGTGTTCTATATATACAGTATATTCTTGATTTTATTTGGTTCTCTGATTTCTCCTTTGTTTTTCTCCCCACAGTCAGACTGGTTTTTCAGTGACAAGGAAGAAAAAGGTGAAAAGGTAAGTGACTAAGAAGGAGGCAATACTCAGTTTATGGCTGACTGCTGAGAAATGCCAGAAGAGAAATGTCTCTAATTCATGACATGGAGGTGCTTTCTTCTGAACTCTGTGCTTTGTTGAGAATCCATTAATAAAGGAAGACAAGGACTGTAACTACTTTTACAGAGGCAGCATCCTTAAGGACAGTTTTGTCTCTCAAATTGTCTTTTCTTTCCAACTCTTGTTTTCAAATACCTGCATTGACACAGACACATATATCTATCTGCCTATTATGTATTCAAGTCAAACTGTCTTTGCAGTTTGCTGTGTACACCTGGAAAGGAGCCAAACCTCTATTTTTTAATCAAAATACTACGTGTTTCCCCAAAAATAAGACAGGGTCTTATTTTCTTTTGACCTTCCAAATAAGGGGTTGGCCTTATTTTTGGGGAAGTCTTATTTTTCAGGTGCAGGAAGCAGCAAGCCTACTAGCCCCACCCTCTCCGTCCCACCACCTGTTTGCCTGTGGCCACAATGACCCAAGTTCTCCTTGCATCCTGGCCTTCACCTGCCCAGCTTGCTGGCCGCGGAACAGCTGACTGTGCTGCTCTGGCCTCGCCGGGGTGCAGGGGAGGGCGCTCTTCCTGGCAGAACGAACGAAAACACACACACACACACACTCCCCCTCCAAGGCAGCCACATCCCTTCACTAACTTGCTTTCCAGCTCCATTCTCCGCTCCATGTGCAGGACAAGAAAAGTAGACTGTGTGTCTATGGTTAAAAAAAATACCAAAAATACCTTCCCTTCCAAGTTCTCGCAAAAAAAAAAAAAAAAAAAGATCTCACAAAGTTGAAAGTAGTCTCATAAACTACTTTTCTTGCCCTGCACATGGCAGTGGAGAATGGAGCAGGAAAGCAGGTTAGTGGAGGGAT